AGAGAGAGAGAGAGAGAGAGAGAGAGAGAGAGAGAGAGAGAGAGAGAGAGAGAGAGAGATGACAGAAAACCTGCTGTGCTGTGCTAGTTCGAGGGAAACCGTCTATATGGCAGGACCGCAAAGGATTGACTACTCAGTACACAAATCCACACAAATTCACTGCAGTCGCCATAACCCTTCTTGCAGGATCCAATTTGCCAGGATGTAATAGTACAATGAGAACAGGTCTTCTTCAGTCACAGGAGGGAGGAGGGTGGATATGGATAGACGCAGGACTGCGCTCTCTCAAATTCCTTTCCTTTTCGCAAGCTTCGACACCATCACGCGTCCACGACTCCATGCGCCATAACACAGTCAACCTGACAACAGCAACCTCTCCCTCATCAAGGTTTTCGTCTACCTTCTTGCCGCTCCGCCCTTTGCATGCACCCTCTCTCTTCCTGCTACCCTCCCCCCTCACTTTCCTGCACCCAGACCTTACATCTCCCTACTCCCACTACCTCCCACCACCCACCACTCCCATCCTTCTCACTCCATGCCAAGCCATGCATGAGTGGCGCCACCATTCCCCTCCTCTTTACTGCATACATCCCAAGCCATGAATAAACAACTCCCCCTGCGGACCAAAACGCACATGCTGAGGAGCACCCACGCACGGGCTGCCGGTGCACACAACTTGAAACTTCAGCCGGGCCGGGCTATTGCCTGCATCCATGAAAAGGACACATATTTATACCCATGGTACGCCAAAAATTATCCCTGTCTCAACTGCGACAGCAACAATTACACCCCATTTATTTTTCAGACCCCTGATACCCCAGCCAACCCTGCCACCATTGAGATCCCAGCCAACGGGCCATGACTGAGATCTTATCACTGTTCTCATGTCACCAGGACCACCACCTGGACACACAGTCTGTCTACCTTCCACTCAGAAGGCTCCAACGCAAAGATAACAAACCACACAATCTTCAGAAGGCTCCATATATAATACATATTTCTTTGCCTTTCTTTTGCATTACATGTATTGTATGCGCCTCACTCCACTACTCACCACATGCACAGAGAAGGACAAAAAATACAGTGGTGCATCTTCCCATGTTCTAGCGGAACATTCATTCTCATTTTGCACATTTGGTGAGTAGTGGAACGACGCCCTATGTCCCGTAAGAAGGAAATGAAGTCTAACAGACTCGTTTCGTTCACCGGACTTCGACCTACTTAACTCGTTTACATATGCATGCTTTTTTTTTCTTGTTTTTTTTTTTCCCTTACTTCGAACTATATTCACCACATAGCAACACTATGGTACGGTCATACCACGGGTAATGCGCCGGATCCCATCCCAACTTGAAAGCCAAGCGCCTTTGGGCTTGAATATTACTGGGATGGGTGACCTCCTGGGAAGTCCCGGTGCTGTACCTACAGGAAAGGCAGCACTTTCGGAAATTTTAATTAAAAAAAAAAGAGGAAAAAAGCATAGCAACGCTGTCGCAGGCACTTGGCACCTGTCTTTCCGTTCGCAGCTCTGCGCTTCATTCTTTGTTTTCCCTTTTTTCTCCTTCTTAACAAAGCTCCGATCTATATTCGTGAGAAGCAGCACGTGCTGGGAACCAGGCCCAGCGTTCTTTTAAAAAAAAAAAAAAAGCAGCTCTGCGCTTCATTCTTTGTTTTCCCTTTTTTCTCCTTCTTAACAAAGCTCCGATCTATATTCGTGAGAAGCAGCACGTGCTGGGAACCAGGCCCAGCGTTCTTTTAAAAAAAAAAAAAAAAAAAAAAAAAAAAAAAAAAAAAAAAAAAAAAAAAAAAAAAAAAAAAACAAACATAGCAACGCTGTCCCGGGCCCAGCGTCCCTTATAAAAAGATTACATGAGAATGATATGAACTCTGATGATCCATTACACTTCGTTCTCAGTTCCTTAGAACAGTAATCACTCATATATCCATCCGTGCATCCTGAGCATACTCGCCGTGAGCATATGTATGCACTTGCTCTTCTGATGCTACTGTTACCCCCCTCTCCTTCTACTTGTGCTCACCATCCTCTCTCTCCTTTCTTTATCTTTCTTTTCTATATCACCATCTCCTTTCTCTTGTTGTCCTCTTGTGCCATTCCTTTCTCTTCTTCCTCCTGCTCCTCTTCTCCTCTATCGCCACCCTTTCCCTTCTTCCTCCTGCTCTCTTTGTCCTCCATCGCCATCCCTCTCTTCTTCCTCCCCTCCTCTCCTTCTCCCCTATCATCGCCATCTTCTCCTCCTTTTCCATCATCATCATCATCATCATCATCATCATCATCATCATCTCATCATCATCCATAAGTTTATGTTTATATTCGTCATCCTGATCATTCCACTGCTGCGTTCTCCTCTGTTCCCCGTCCTCATCCGCCTCCCCTCCTCCTCCCGTCCTCCCCCTCCCTCCTCCTCCCCTCCTCCCCCTCTCCCTCCTCCTCCCCTCCTCCCCTTCTCCCCCTCTCCTTTCTCCTCCTCCTCCTAACCGCAAAGCCCTCTCCTTCTGCGTGTGCTCACTCTCCTCTCTCCCTCCGCTTATTTTTATTTTCATGCGTTCTTTTCCTTACGCTTCTCCTTCTTCTTCCTCCTCTCCTTTTCTATCGTCATATTTTCTCCTCTTTCATCATCACCATCACCTTCCTCTCCCACTACTATCTTTTCTCCTCCTCCTCCTCCTCCTCCTCCTCCTCCTCCTCCCCCTCCCCCATTCTCCTCTTTCTTCATACAGATCTTACTACCCTCAGCGTGCCTGTCCTATCTGCCGGGGTGGGGGCTCCTCTTCCTGACTGGTCAATAGAATCAAGCAGGTCAGGAGCAACACTAATTGTAGGACAGATAAAGCTTTCGACACTACCAACAGATACGGAGCTGAAGAAAAAAGGAAGAACAAATTGAAAAAACGAAAAAAAAAAAAAAGAACAAATTGCTGAAGAAAAGAAAAAAGAAAAAAGGGACCGACCGTAGCGCTTCTGCCGGCGCTCTGGCGTTTCGGACCAAGCGCTAAGCTCCTGGTAACGAGAGCTTTTGCGTCAGCCGTGAAGCACCGCCACCATGACGTAGCCATGGCAGGTGTGGTTTCTTCTCCATCCGCATTGCTTTCGGAGGATCGCCATGACCTCTTGGTAGGTTGTTGGTGATGAAGTCACAGTGACCAATCGGTTGTAGCCCCTGATTGTAGAGAGAGAGCGATAGCTCACGCTCTACGTAAGAATTTGGAATAGTACGATGGAGAGTGGTAATTGAATAGTTAGTCAACTTCTTGGCGACAATGGCGATGGAAGTGGGAGGGGGCCCGAAGGAGCCCCGTTCACCTCCACCGGATCCAGAGTTTGGAAGAGAGGATGAAGATAGGCTCGAGGAGCTTATGAGGCTATGCTATGAAGAAGGGATAATGCCATCAAACATTGATCCCGGGGAGATGTCGGTGGAAGGAAGGGAGGCGCAATTTAAAGTCAACGCATCAATTGACCGGATTCAAATTTGAAGGAGCACACAGTAACTGTCATCTTTCGCGAAGGAGCTCGGTTTCAGCTGAAGAAAGTAAAGGATGACATTGTGCGTGCGTACGAAGATGATAAAATTCAAGAAGGAAGTTTTGAGGCTGACAGCTTTCGAAGAGGACGGGTGAAAGTGGAAAGCCCAAACGTGCTTTTCTATGTGGCGAAGTCACGTGCAATTGCAACGTGGATGGTGCTGAAGGCGCGGGATGAAATTACTATCGGGTCAGAGACGTACAAGCTGGAGTTCAAGCCTTGGTTATCCAAGGGACAACTCCGGGATCAACGAAGAGCAGAGGACGAGCAGACATTCTGGGTAATTGCTGTCCAAGTCCCACTGGACTCCTTTTTCTACTTGGAAGCTCAGATTGGAAAAGCGATTGGAACAGTAATTCGCACACATCCTACGGAACCGGATCGACTGAAGCCCTCACTGGTCAATATTAAATATGACCTGGATCCAGCTTCGAGACAGAATATAAAAGATAAGATTTGGGTGCTGACTCCGGAAGGAGATGAGCTTGAAGTGAAATTGGCATCATCGGACACTCCGAAATGTCGTCGGTGCCGAGCCTTCTTTCATATGGAGGCCGAGTGTCGAAGGGCAGGGAGACAGCAACAACAACAAAGCAATCAGCAGCACTTAGGAGGTTTTCAACCAGCAGCGTCTTCACAAGGGTATCAAGGCCCAATGGATCATCAGGGTTTCTCCCCATCTCAAGCTCCACTTCCAGCGAATTCCTCTCAAGGCAGACCCAGCGCTCAGCACGCGCCTTCCTCCTACGTCAATCCAATGTTTTCTCCGGCAATTCATGCCCAAGTTTCCAGTATGAACCAAGCTGGTGGCCAGTATCCTTTTCAAGTATCGTCGCAATATGGGATGCCCAGCTGGGCTGGAAACACTTTCCTCCCATGGCAGATGCATCAGGGCGTTCAACAAGGAAGAGCCACGATACCATCCTTGCAACTTCAGCAGACATATGGCATGCCGCTTGGAGCAAATTCGGTGATGGGAGCACAGATGACCACAAACGCTGGAGCAAAGTTTGCCCCAGCGAGCGTAGGTCTAAATACGGGTGTCGGGAACAGCGGAGCACAAGGTGGAACGGGCAAACACGGTTTAGGGAGTGGGTCTCGCCCTGTGCTTGGCACAGGCCCTCCCAACTTTCAGAGAGAACGGGAGACTTCACCGCTCCTGCAAAGACCACGGACAAGTACTCCAGGTAAGCAGCGCAGATTGAACTTGGAGGGTAGATTTGTTGCAAGTGATTTACAAGATGGAGATGAGAACTCTTGCACCTCGCTGCCCCAATCTGAAAAATCCTCTGACAGGATTAAAGATGTCGGTACACCAGGAAGTACCTCCTCCAAGAGGAGAGCTCCTTCGCTGGCACGGGGCCAGATGCACCTGGTAGATAACAAGGTATTACCACTCTTTTGCACGTTCGCACGCAATGCATGTTGGGTAATTTCGTGGTTAACCGCAGACGGGAGCCCGATGTTGGTACGTTTCGCCGGTCCTGGACAGCCCATGCCCTCTGCCCTGGTGTCGTTAGTCAGGTCGGCGATAAACGACCGTTTCGTGTTTCGCATTATCCCTGAGTTGAATATGCCTCGGTTGATTGTGGATAATCCCGAAGGGGGGGGGAAGCGGATCAAATTATTCGTGCCAATTATGGATGTTAGATTGGTGGTCGGGCAGTTGGAAAAATTTGAGACGGAAGGACTCCGGTTGCTTCCGTTGACATGGTTTGGGGAAGCACGAAAAAACGAGTTGAGGCGAATTAAAATGCCGCCACTACCAAACGCAGAATGCCTGGCAGCTGTGGATGGTAAACTGCTGAAGGATAAGAAGCTTCTCTCTCCGTTCGTCAAATCTATGCTCACCACCAATTGGCTGGTGCCGCATGGCCAGGCGACATCCCAACGCCCCCCCTCTATCCAACCGTCGCTCAGAGGACCTGGAATGAATGGGCAAAATTAGAATCGGTACGTGGAATGTTAGGGGGCTACCGTCTTCACCCGAAAATAACGCCCGGGCGTTATATTCAACTTTCCCAAAAAAGGTGAGATTTTCGTTTTTAGCCACTTTTTTCCAAATACAATGCCCCTTCGAATAGAACGGCCGGGCGTTATATTCTAATAGAACGCCCGGGCGTTATATTTGAATGTTCCATGGCCAGAGTGCCTTGAAGAGGTAGTATACATGGGTTTTAAAGGGCGGGGAAGGGGGTATACATGGGTTTTGAAGAGGGTTGAATGGGGTCTTGACTTCCGAGGGGTGTATTTCGGCTTGATTTTTTGTTTTTATTTTTTATTTCCGAGTTTATAGGGAATTCTGAAGTGACCCTCAGCCAAAAGCTGGTCGCATTGCAATCCTGGACAACATTTTTTTTTACACAATTTTTTGAATTTTTTTTTTTCGGAATTTTGGTGTCTCACCAAAGTAACCACAAATTTACTCAATATAACGCCCGGGCGTTATATTCGTATACAACGCCCGGGCGTTATTTTCGGGTGAAGACGGTAGGAGATACATCGGGGCGTTACAAAAGGGACAGAGTGAAGTCATGGATTTACGATCAGAGTATTCAGATTATGTGTATCCAAGAAACTAAATTATCTGAGGAAAAGATTTTATGTCGGAAGAACTGGTGGGATGGCCCACAACTATGGGCCCCAGCAATAGGACCGAAAGGGGGGGTTGCTATTCTAATCCATAGGAAAGCAGAGATTGAACTAGTTGATTTCTATGCCGACTTGTCGGGAAGATGGGCATGGGTGAAGTTTTATCTGGACGGTTGTTATTGGGTGGTAGTATCACTGTATGCGCCAGTGGAGAAAAAACTACGATGGCTGTTTTTTCATGATCCGCTGCCTATCATCCCGGTTGGAGACAAATTGGTCCTAACAGGCCATTGGAACACTTCACTTGATATTTCAGCAAGAAAAGGTAATGAAGATAAGCTGATCTTGACTTCACTAATGGAAGAGTTAGATCTGGTGGATCCCTACCGCCTAACACACCCGGATTTCCCAGGATTCACATGGTTTTCTAATCGACGTGAAGACTCTGGCTACACCATGAGAAGGCTTGACTATTTTTTGATCTCATCCAATTTGTGGGAGGCTGCCGGAGAGATTTTGGAGTCCGCACACCCCATGTCAGACCATAAGCCTGTTCAAATTACAATCCACACCACGGAAGTAACGCAGGGTAAGGGCCTCTTTCGTTTTAACACTGAAAAGGGCTGGTGGATTGGATGAAGAGCTTTTGGAGAGACCGGGAGAAGAGCCGAGATGATTATGCCTCTAGGGCTGAATGGTGGAATTCGGGCTCTCGAATTTTTTCCAACTTGTTGTCGGTCTTGTCTAGAATCTTAGCATACAAGAGAGAGAATAAAATCAGGATGTTACAGCGAAGAATTGAATATGCCAAAGGGCACATGCTTGAACATCCAGTCTCAGAACGAGTCTGGGGAAAAGAGAGAAACAGACTATTGACAGAATGGGATGACCTACAGAGTAAACAGTCCGACATATGGGCTGATCGCCTTCGGATCAAGGGTATCGCAGTTTACGACCGTATGACAAAGGAGTCTTTCCATAAATTATTACCCCGTAGGTCTACAGTGCCAAGGAACGAGCTGAAACACCCGTTTGACGAGGTGGCTCCAGCGGCGAGAGAATTGAAGGATCTATGTGAGTATGCTGCTATCTATTATAAGGACATTCTCACCACTCGCCTACAGAGGAATAATAGATGAAATCTTCATAAAGATTCTAACCACTGGGTAAACACAGAATCCAGGCTATCGCAAGCTGGAAAATTGGACTAAGCTCGACCAATCTCAACTCAGGAAGCCTATGAGGCCCTCAAGGCGATGTCTGTAGGCAAAGCCCCGGGGGATGATGGCCTTCCAGCAGAGTTGATCCTAGTCATCTGGGATGTAGTGGGGGATAGCTTGGTGGAGATATACAATGAAATCTTAACAGGCGGTAGACTCTCAGAAAATATGTGTCGAGGGATTATTTCAGTCCTGTTCAAAAACGGAGACAGGTCTGTGATTCGTAATTGGCGACCTATTTCAGTACTTAATGTATCTTATAAAATTCTGGCAAAAACTTTGGCCAGACGGTTGGGTCGTTACCTCCCACAATTGGTTAACTCAGACCAAGCTGCCTTCATAAAGGGAAGATCCATCTTTGATAATATCGTTACTGCAATTGAGACGCTGGAGGTCATCCAAAATGATCAGACGAACATGGTTGTTCTCCTGTTGGATTTAGAGAAGGCATATGACCGGGTGAATTGGTCATATGTCCTTTCAACTTTGGACTGGATGGGATTTGGTAGAAACTTCAGTCAATGGGTTACTGCTCTCTATACAGTTTCAACTGCTGCAGTCATGATCAATGGACGCCTCTCTGAGGAATTTTCACTTACTCGGTCCCTCCGCCAAGGATGTCCCTTGGCCCCACTGTTGTTCGCAATTCGGATGGAAGGAGTGCTTAGCAATATTCTTGCTCACACTCAGATTATTGGTTTAAATGCAGGCCCGTCTCCGCTTAAGGTAAAGGCCTTGGCGGATGACCTGTTCGCTGTGGTCCAGAACCCTAAGAGTTCGTTGAGGGCTTTGAAGGATTGCCTAGATGAATATGCTGGCTTGTCAGAGGCGGCTATTAATTAGCATAAATCAGCCTATTTTCTGCCAGCCCAATTCTCCCTTGAGGTCGAGTGGGGTATGAAAAGGATACAAAACGATGAGTTTGAAAGGTTCTTAGGAGTCCAGATATCGCTTTTCGAACTGTGCTGAAGCACAGAATGGTATACTGATACAGAGGACTAATCAGAGACTGAACTTGTGGGGCAAAGCTCCTCACCTATCAATCTACGGACGGGCAATGGTGATCAATGGCGCTCTCTTTGCCCTACTATGGTATGTGGGGAGAGTAAGGGAGATAGACCCGTTAAAAACGTGCTGCTAAATTTATCTGGAAACCATATGCAGAGGGGGACGAGTCCTTCATATCGAAAGTTGCCTGGGAGATGTTGTGTCAGCCACGTGCTGAAGGGGGATTGGGAATGCTGGACCCTAGAAGACAGAATGCAGCTATGTTATGTCAGTGGATAATGAAAGCTAGCCTACTGTCCTCTCCTCCTCACTGGGTATTCCTAGCTGAGCAGATCTTATCAGAAGAATGGAATCTGGCTACACCAGAAGATGTCTGGACCTGCCTGATGCTCTTCTCATATCAGAAGTGGCACATCAAATCCCCCTTTTGGGCTCCCATTATCAAAGCATGGAGAAAGATCCATCCGAGTGTCTGGAAAGAACCCTCCTCCAAAGCTGAAGTGCTAGCTCAGCCCTTGTTTGAGAACCCCAAGATAAGAGATGAATCTGGGTTATGGTTTAAAGCCGACTCATCCTCCACTAGTTTTGGGCGTATGTGGATTGAACGAGGGGTACTGATGATTCAGGACTTATGGGACAATGTGTTGGGGGATTGGTTATCTGATCAGGCATTAAGAGAGAAATTGGGTCAGGTCAGGAATATGGTAGCCCGCAAAAGGACACTGATTACATCTATCCCAATACAATGGAGAGATATTTTGTCTCCCGGAGGGGTAGATCCGCCGGGCACATGGTTCACTGTGACACACTCTGCTCTTGAACAAGTTTGGAAGTTGGCTTACATTAGGCCAGATGGATTGAGAGAATTTGAATGCTGGTCAGTAAATGGCAGGTTTCTGCACCTAGAGGAAGATAACCCCCCTCCACCGGTGGGAGCTATGCTGCAACAAGTCAGAGTATTTGAAACCCTACAACAAGACGACACGAGTTTCTGTGAGCTCTACGCTAACGGGGCTCCACTGTTACAGATGAAATTAGATCCAGCAGCATGGGAATGGACGGTTAGAGGTACTAGAGGAATGAATGCTACATTGGCAGAGTATTCTCTTAAGATTGTCTATGCTGTTAACCAACCGATGAAGCACCCGCAGGTAATTGCACGAGAAAGATGGCTCCAGCTCCTCCCTGTTCCATCAGAAGAAGTAGAAAGAGCCTTAACAGTCTGTTGGACTCAGTTGAAACTTGTTGCCAATCAGAGACAGGCCTCACTTTTGTGGCTAGTTTCACTTGTCTCTACTCCCTCTGCAGTTTGGCTGGCAGAAAGGGGAATGAATCTGGATCTCACTTGTCGTCGGTGCGAATGGGCATTCGAATCTACTGTTCATTTATGGTAGGACTGTCCTGCCTCTGCTCGTATATGGGAGTGGTGGACGACTCAATGGAACCGGTTCTCGAACACTGTATTCCCCTGGACAAAAGAGTGGTCCTTATTGGGGGGTATTCCAGAGGGAATGCAGAGTACGAAAGGCTGGGGATATATAGCTCAGTCAGCCAGGGCTGTAGTTTTTGCTGTCATATGGCAATGTAGGAACGATCAAATCTTCAACGGTAAGGATTGGACTAACAAACAGATTCGTCAGACCATCAAGCAGCTCCTTCGTCGGGTATTCAGGCAGATTGGCGACGCAAGGTAACTTCTCCTTCCTTCTCTCAGTCAGGTTTTCTGTGGATTAAAGATACGTGGGCACTGAGTTCTGAACTTGCCTCAATTGAGATTGGCCCGCGACTGTGCATGGGTCCCTGGCTGCTACAGAACTAGATATAGGCGTGGGAAGGATAAACCTCTTCGCTCGGTTTCAGTTCGGTCGTGGGAGACGGGCAGAAAGGTTGCAAGTGGAAGGAGCAAAAATGTGGGAGGGGGGACCCTATTGGCTCCTCGCCGCCGTTGTAGGTGGCAGTAGGATATGTAGATCTAGGATTAGAGCTTGAGGTGGGTGTTTTTTGGTTTAGAGTTGGGGGAGTTACTTTTAGGCTTGTGCTGGCTTTTATGGCCGTGTAGGCACCTCTTGTTGAGGTAATGATTTGTTTGTTTAAATTTTCTTTTAGATAGCATTTTGGAATTGTGTGGCTTTTTAGGCATTGTTGACGAGTTCTTTCCCAGGGATGCGGAATGTCAGGACAGCGGCCCAGTTTAGGCCATTTCTGGCAGCCTGGACACACCCCATCACCTGCACCGAAGCTGGGTAATGGTCCCAGATTTTGCTCCGGGTTGTTTGTGGAGGTTTTCCCGGTCTCCTTTTTGATTGAAATGAACAGAGTTTTCTTATAAAAAAAAAAAAAA